AATCTTACCGTTCCTGGAAAAGGCTATGTTTGGTCACGTCAGGGGGGGGTCTTTGTTCCGGTCCCTTTTGAGCCCTCGTTGGGCTATGTTTACGACGTTCACGTCCCTATCTCGCAGACACGTCCTTTAGATAGTGACTTTTAGAGCTATGTTAGGTAATATCTTTACTTTCTTCCAGTCCCTTTTGAGCCCTAGAAAATGTTACCGTTCCTTATCTCTGCTCCTGTTGAGCCAAATATCCAGCGAACGTCTCGAGCTACCTACGGAAAAGATACACCAATTTGCGACGTTCCCACATTCTAGCGCTATGTTAGGCAATATGGAAGCTATGTTCGGCCACGTTGGGGGGGGGTGACTTCTGGGGCTATGTTCAATGGAAGTACCTACCTTGACCCGTTCCTGGAGCAGGACTGCAGTCTTTGAGCCCTCCCATGCGGTGCGCGGTTACCGTCGCGAAGCGACGTGAATATTGTCCTGACAGGGTGCGTAAGGGCAGTGTCGAGACCCAATGAAAAGAGCTAGTGAAGGCTTGCGCCGCAGAGGGCTTGGGGCCGAGCACGCGAACGTGACCCCAAAGACTTCCTCCCAAGACTCCCGGCAATCTGCCTTGCCACAGCCTTCCACAGGTAATGGCGCGCCGAAAACCACCAAAATATTGTCCTGACAGGGTGCCTAAGGGCAGGTTCGAAACCCAATGAAAAAAGCTAGCGAAGCCTGCCGCTGAGGGTTTGGGGCCGAGCGGAGTTACTAGCCAGAGTTACGATGTCGCGAGCTGGTGCGGACAGGCTTTCCACCATCTAATTCCACAAGTACACGGCAGATGTCCCTTCAGGCATACTATTTCCAGTCATACTTGGATGTACTGTGGTGTACCGAGCGGAGTTGCTTGCCACAGCTTTCCACCATCTAATTCCACACCAAAAATCACCAAAAAATTGTCCTGACAGCCTAGCAGCCGTTTCGAAACCCAATGAAAGCGGCTTGCGAAGGCCCGCCGCAGATGGTTTTGAAGTGCCTTATGGTAACTCCAGCGGACAGGGTGCCTAACAGCAGCGTCGACTGCCTAACGTCGCCTGGAACGTTTCCTGGAACGTTGACCGCTTTCCACCATCTAATTTCACACCAAAAATCACCAACAAATTGTCCTAACAGGGTGCCTAACAGCAGTTTCGAAACCTTGCAATGAAAGCGGCTTGTGAAGGCCTGCCGCAGATGGTTTTGAGGTGCCTTATGGTAACTCCAGAGGACAGGGTGCCTAACTGCAGCGTCGACTGCCTAACGTCGCCTGGAACGTTTCCAGGAACGTTGACCCCAAAGACTTTCAAGGCTCCCGGGAATTTCCTTCGCCACAGCTTTCCACCATCTAATTCCACACCAAAAAGGGGCGAGCCGCAGCCAGCCAAAATGCCTAACGTTGCCATGGCACGTCGCCTGGCACGTCGCCTTCGCGAGCCCATAAAACAGTCGCCTGGCACGTCGCTTTCGATGCCAAGTTGCCTGGCCCAGTTGCCTGGCAGCTGAGGTGTTCCTATAAGGCAGAATGCAGCCGATGGCCACACCTAGAAACGACACCTTCGACACACTCTGGATCTGCTTCTCCAAAAAACGGCAGCTTCGCCACGGCGAAACACTCTGGATCTGCTTGGCCTGGGCAATTGTTTCACCCTGCGGTGTCCCCGGCGCCGCACCTAGACGTCAACTAGGCAGGGGTCGGCGGATTATAACCACATGTCAAAAGGAATGTTCATGTTCAACCAACAAATGTTCAATCCTTTACACAAATCGTATCATAATGAAGTTGATATTGAAATCCTAAACTCGTGTAGAACAATCACACCGGCTGGAAAATTTCATAGTTTCACATTTTTTATCACAGGGAGGTACATTTGGAAATAGACCAGGATGAGGCTTACGCTTACTGTTTAGGGGAAAGAGTAAACAAACGCATGGATTGTTTTTCTTTCTGAAATAAACCCGATCCATTAACGTACAGCATCGTTTAATAGAATTTGCGGATAAAGTTTAAACTTGAACTTTGTATTGTAAACAGTCCTCTTGTGTGTATGATGTTGATCACAAAAGAACTATACAAAAACTTTACAACAACACCAACATTTCAGATAAACAGCGCGATTATACAATGGCCAAAAAGATGATTGTTAGTTGACGCCCTTCGTGACATGTATAGCAGACACGTTTTTCACTTGACATTTGGCTCAAGAACTCTATCAAAAGGTGCTACTGCTGATGGTAGCTGAGAACGTTGACACGCACACGCTTGACTAGGAAAACCATCAGTTTGAGTTTCAACTGCAGTTGAAACCATGGTTATCACCCGCAGTCACTTGCTGAGCTTGAGAGACCTACCCATAGACTTAGGCTCCACCGGGCTTTGCTCCATCATTATCATCTTGGCTTTCAGAGAGGTTGAGAGAGGGTGTCACGGCGGTCGCAACTCCGTCGCAAGGAGGGCGGTTGCCGCAGGGTACTCAGAGAAGTTGAGGCACTTGAAGCGCACACACCGTGTGAGCTCGTCGTCGGTGAAGGAACAGCTAGACCGTCCTGATGTTGAGTTGTCTCTTGTAGAGTCCGACCTGTACTAGAAGGCAGACGTGTTTACAAAGGCAGTGGAGGTTGCGTTGAGGCCACAGACCGTGGGACCTGGCACCTGGTTAACTTGGAAATCTGCGTAGGAAACTACAAGCTGAAGAACACCTTGCACCGGCCTGAAGCTACATGAAGGTCTACACCTACAACATGCACTTGCGCCTGGATAAGCAGCAAGCACACAGAGCACACAACCAGCCTACAAACGAGAAACAGAAGTGTGAGTCAACGAGGACTCCACCCGATATAGTTCCGGACAAGACGGACTTGACGAGGGCTTCTCAAGCTACCTCCAATGTCCGGCGTCGCAGGAGCAGAGGGGGAGTTGAAACCCTTCGCGAGTGACATGTATAGCAGACTTGGTTTTCACTTGACACTTGGCTCAAGAACGCTGTCAAAAGGCGCCGCTTGACTGGGAAAACCATCGAACCAGTTTGAGATTCATCTTTGCTGATGTTATTACAGGGATGTTGGAAAAGGGAACTTAAAAGAGCCAGAAGAGTACAAGTATAGATGTTGAAACGCAGACACTTTAAGAGTAAGGATTGCAAGTATTGTGATGTTTTCAAGTTCCGAAAAAACATCAGCCACCAAGTACCATACTCCTTAACGGTATCTGACAAAAGTACAAACAAACATTGTTAATGTGAGAACTGTTTGCAAACGGCTCCTGTGACAAAATTTATATATTCCAAGTAGTGCCTGATCCAATATTCAACATGTCTAAAAATCACGCCAATGCTCACAAAACAGGCAAGACAGGTAGACTTGTCAGGGAGGTAGCATATAATGTGTATATTCCTATATATATGTGGCCTTCGTTGAAAGCTTTGTTGACCGTTCTGACCCTGGGTTGGAAGGCACAAAGGGGTGCACACCACAGAACGGTGAAAGGTGGCACCGAAAAGGTGCTGCTCGAAGCGGGAAGGCAACACTGAATTGGATGTGAAACCACTGCTAGGGGACAAGGCGATAAAAAAATATATAAAGTAATGAGATTCGAAGCCCTCCACGTAACCCTCCAGTCCTCGTTATTCGATACCCAACGTTCAACAGGGTCTTGCCACTCGCGTTCGGTCACCGGCGCCCACTTCGAAGACGTAAACAGCACTGCTTTGCCCCCAGCGCCCCCTGCCAACTCAACGGTTGAATAGCCTGACGCTTGCCTTTCGTGGAACAACATGGTAAACAATTTCTCAAACAAGCACTGTCATGTCATTAGGGTTATTTCAACTTTGTTCTATTTTGATTTCAACCCTGTTCAGCTGTCCTGGGGTTGAGTCATGTTCAGTCTGGTTTTCAGGGCGATGGTCGCAGCTTGAGAGCAGTGGACCTCTCCAGTGACCAGCGGCCTATGCGGGAGGATGAAAGAACTCGCATACTGCAGCAGGCAAGTCAAACACTAGGTTGCAGCCTTTTTGGCAGCTCAGACAGGGTCCTTTGGTTGGTGTTTCGTACGCCTCGTGGTCTTTCGATAAATGTAACAATATTTGTAGTATCCTGTAGTGCTTTAGGCACAACATTTTGAGACACCATAGAAGTGCGTTTCTTTGTTTGCGCTATGAAGCTGTGGTGTCAGCTGCTGCTGTGCTCCTGTTTACAGAGTGCTCCCATGTTGTATGCAGGGCGGTCTGGTCCACCAGAGTGCGATTCCAATGCGCCAAGGACTGGTTTCAACGACGCAACATGTTTTGCTTGCAAAGGACTAATACATCTAATGAGTGCGAGGACATGAATCATCAAAGAATCCGTGTGTTGCCACAAGAGAAGGCAACCTACCTCATCACATCATTCATCCGACGAAGATTCCACTAGTTTCTCCACTGTCAAGTTGTAGTTATTCAGATCGGATGTTGTCCAAGCAAAGCAAAGCGAAGCAAGATGAAGCAAGTTGACTTAGCTCTTTGTGCTTGTCAGGCTTCGGACCGCCTGTACTTGTGCGAGTTGGGCCAGAGCGTGTTTGGGACAAGACTGGCCGTTGTGGCCTGTGCGTGACGCGGTCACTAGGACCAGCAAGGGACATGGATCGAGTAAGAGCAGCTAAGTCAACCAAGGAGTTTTGGAAACTGTTGAGATGTGTTGAGTAAGCTGTTTACGACAATGGCCGAAGTTTGTAACAGTAGTTGTATTCATGTTGTGAGGCTGGATGTGCCCCAGTCTGATTGATATCAGTGTCCTTTCTGAAGCTGTTTGAGGCTTTAAACGTAGGCACAGCCCTGAAGATTGCAGAGAGTTTTGTTGAATCCACATCCAATATCCTTGGATTTGCCTCACTTTTCGAGAAACACAATTCTGCATCACAGAGACTATGCCTTTGTGATCTACTTGCATCATATTTCATTTGCCTTTGGCCTATGCATGTGCTGCTTTTGCAACACTTCAAGCACTGTGGCATGGCTGATCTAGATGAGCTGTACAAGCCACTATCGCAGAGAGCACAGCTTGCTGGACGCTGCTCCTCAGTTGGCCAACACAGACTTGGTAAGGATGTTGTTTCCTCGTTTTCGTTACTAATATTACTTATATAGTAGTAGCCAGCAAATTTGCCTAATTACTAATTGTTGATTTCCCGACTTCTTTGGGCAAGCAAGGTTCTAATTGTGGAAGCCATTTCTCTTCTCGAAATGCGCTTTTCCGACACTTGCACCACGACGGCTGCGGTGGAAAGCGAAAGCGCAGCCGGCGGCTCTTGTTGCTTTACGGCTACGTGGGAACACGCTTTCACGGGAGCCAGTTAAACGCAGACGAGTCACGTTTTCCGACAGTAGAAGGGGCGTTGCTGGAGGCTATCCGGCGCGCAGAGATGGCACAACACAATGTTTTTTCATGCCAAGTAGAGGTGTGCTCCCGCGCATCTAGAACCGACAAAGGTGTTCATGCATTGGCCAGCGCCGTGTGCCTACGCATCACCCAACAAAGTGAGGGTGACTTGAAATCTTCACAGCAGGAGGCCTTCTCTGAAATTGTCGGTCAACACCTCCCGCCTGACATTAGATTGGTTCAAGCATTTGATGTGCTGGACGCTCAATTCAATGCCCGCTTCGCTTGCCAAAAGCGTGAATATTGGTATTATATACCTTATCAGCATTTACTTCACCCAAAGGAACAAACGATGATGGCCAAGTTAAAAGCCGAAGGCACGTCTTCAAATCATCCTTGTGCATGCCGTGTTTGGGTATCAGGGTTGCCTGAATCAGCAAACAACGATCAGCTTTTCGACTTGGTGGAAACTCTGCGGAGCAAGGAGGATTTGCCAAAAGGGCGGCTGCTTGATGTGCAGTTTTCGCGGAAAGACTGTTCCGCAATGCTTTCTTTTGAAGATGCCCGGTCGGCCTTGTGCCTTTGTTGGAACTTGGATGGTACAGAGGGTCCAGTGGACAAAACTGGCTATAGAAGTCCTTTGCTGGCCTTGCCTGAATCCATAATGCAGATACTGCAAGAGGTACACAAGCGTTTGCGCTCCTCGCTCAAGAGATTAACCGGCACAAGATCATTCCATAACTTTAGTCCAGGCTTTGCTGATGCGTTGGACCCAAAAAGTATTCGTAGCGTATATCGCTGCAGATCAGGCGTGACAACTGGTTTCAAGGACTTTCTGCGTGGCAAGGCCTTTGCAGTGCTTCGGATCACCGGCAGAGACTTCCTATATCATCAGATTCGTGGTATGGCAGGTCTGGTTTGTGCTGTAACCTTGGGAATCGTGCCGGAGGCCTACTTGGAACTTGCCCTCGGCGAAACGCAGATTGAAGTGCCATTGGCACCAGCTGGCCACCTTGTCCTGGCCGAATGCTTTTTTCGGGATGGCCTGTTTGGTTGCCCCTTTGGTCAGGCCAATCGGGAAGAGCGAGACAAGGCCGGAGGCCGGCGAGGTCTCCCCGGGCCTGCAGCATGTGCCCAAGAAGTGATGTGTAGGAGAGTTGTAGATGAAATGTGCAGCCCCTCCTTCCAAGAAGTCTTTCAGAAGTTTGCAGACAGACTTCTTGGAGAGCAAGGAACAAGAATGAGACAGTTGTTTAGTGATAATCAGCCAAGCAGAGAGAAGTGAAACGGATGCCAGTATTTACTCTAGTTATCTCAAGTTGATGTTCCAATAATGTTACACGTGCATGTCGAGCTGCTCATAGTTGACTGCAATCATTCGAAGACGTATCACTGAACTGGCAGGAGACCTTTCCATGCACCCTTTCGTTATAGCACAACCAGAGGCAGGGCTTTGGATGGCCACGGCCACGGACTTGCATGGCCTTGGATGGCCGACAGCACGTGCTGTCGCTTTGTCATTGTGACATCGTGAGACCCGCGAGACTTGTTTGGAGGTCTCGGAGAGGACCTTGTGCTCAAAGGACAAAGTGCTCATCCTTGGAAGCGATGGTGTTTGGGATCGAATGATTTCACAAGAGGCGTGGACAGGAATTGCACACATGTCATGAGATATTGTAGAAAAGCAGATTTACCATTGTTGAATTGTTGAATATCATAGTTCAGGGGAGTTAGAAGTGGTAAAGTCAAAGTATTATGATGTTTGCAGATACGCAAGCGCGTTGCAACGTTGCTGTTTTCACTGAGGGCTGGGTCTGAGAAGCCAGGTTCCAATCAGAGCCATCCAAGCTGAGAAAAGGGCTCGCAGTAAACAATACAGGGTATAAAAATACAAGGGCCAACCACTATGTCATCATTAAATAATGCGTTTGTTCAAAAACATTTGTTTCATCATTATGTGTGGTGAATTACAATTATCCAATTATATGTGAGTTAAGTTGCGGTCTATACCACCGCTGAGGCTCTTACAGTAATATTTATACACTTTAAAGGTATTCACAGACAATCGCACGAAAGAGGCAGTGGACATCGCTGCCAAGCACACTGATCCCAATGCAGCTGCTCGGGAAGTTGCCAGCATTGCTCGGCAGCGATGGCACGTGGAAACACAAGGCCGCAAGGCCGCAAGCCAAGCGCAGTTAGTGTCTATTGGTGCATATGACTGAAGATAAACTTTGGCTGTACGAGAGCTAGCTGGCTAGCTGTGTACCAACCGGGCAGCAATACTACTGTATTTTTTTCATGAAAGTGTGTTTCTGAAGATATGCGTGCCACACACACATACCCAGCGACAAAGATCCGGCATTCATGAACCCATACACACATTTCAAACTTCCTGGTGCCAAACAAATTTTGCCTTGGTCGTTTTGAGTTAGCTCTAGGAATACAAATTTACAGGCACAGTGTCTGTGTACCCGAGAAAGTAGGGTGTGACAGCATCAGCAAGATTAAGTAAGAGGCTAGAGAGCCCGGAGTGCTGGAGCAGGAGTGTGGTGTGGAGGTTAGGAGGGAGGAGTTTTAGCTTCTAGATTGTTCTAGCGTCAATGTGGGCAAAGCAAGAATCTACAAGATCAAGATTGGTGTGACCAGTGCCAGCAAGGGCCTCAAGTCAACGCAATTCAAGAATCTCTGAGGAAGCTACATACAAATCAAGATTGATGTCATGCATTTCTTGGTTTGGAGAGTACCGTTAAGTTCTCCAAAGAGTGCTCTACTCACTCAACTGAGCCGACAAAGTTGCAAAGCAGTATAACTCCTTCCCAAGTTCCTGTTCTGGAAAATGCGTAGTTTCTTTGATGTGCACCTCTTTGTTTGAGGATATCTTACTATGTTCTTTCTGAGCTCACACTCACCTTCCCACTTCCCACATCTCGATGTTTGTCCAGAGTTGTTACCATACACTCTTCGTGCTTCTGATTTTGGGAGTGTCTTCCGAGCTGAGCTTCACAGCTCCAAGCCGCAGTAGATGATGATAGATGATGCCTGCCATGGCCCGTTGCTTTTTACCTGGCTTTGGATGTTAGGATTTTGGATTGTATGCTGATGGCAACGACTGTAGACACTGTAGACTGTTGTGTGCAAAAAGGGATCTTGTAAGGGCAAGCAACAGTTGATCTTAAGCTGCAGCTGAGCCAAGGCCAACTGTCAGATGACATAACTGCGGTACCTGGGCCTGCATGGTGCATCCTTCCAGGGTTTCTTTGTTTCTTGCGTTGTCAAACAGGGTGAATGGAGAATAAACCAAGAAGAATGGCCTTGTAAATTCTCGCTTTGGAAGTAGTTTCATCATTTGAGCTTTGACAAGGTAGTGATGCATTTGGACCATGGTGATCCAATGAGAGCCTCTCCGCGGCCAAGCTCAAAGAACCGGACGTTGCTTCCAAACCCGACCCTTCCCAGGCAAGAACGAGAGAGAAGAGAGCACTTGTGGCAACTATGCCAGGGTGTAGACTTACATATAGAAACGATATGAAATTAGGTCACATGATGATGTTTTTGAATCCGTTGCAGGTTGTTCTATGGTTTTCTCTTTTTGTTCTTTGTTTCACATTCTGACTGGGCGGAAGAAATCGGCGAGACTGATTGGCTGCAGGCCTTCGTTGGACACTGCCCCGGTGAAGGCCCGCGCCAGGCGGTTGGAGCCACTGAGGAGCACACGAGCTGAGAGGCCTAAACTTGGAGGGTTTGAACTTTGGACGCTTGAGGGCAGCACAACAACAAAAACGAAAAGATATCAGATATCAGAAAAGTAAAACGCACTGTTTTGCTCATTTGTTCTTGAAATCAAAAATATCAAAACCACTCTTGGCAATTTGGCTCCAAAAACTTAACTTCGAAAGCAATGCCTAACACTGGACGCGAAAGGCCAACCCTGCCAGGCTTGGTCTTTTGCACCTACCTGCAGCTGGACTTCCGACTCGACGTCGCGGAGGAAAGGACGTTCCATCATGTTCCATCCCTCATGTGTTGTTTGCATTGAATAAAGCAACTGTCAAGAATGTGTGTGTGTGTGTGCGCGATGCTTACGTATACATACCGTGTCGGAACCTGATCGCACCGACACTTGTCGGGGCAATCTTTCCTGCAAGGCCTTCAGCAATCGTGAGCTAAGAGCACTTGTGTCACGAAATGCTTTGATGGGAATGCCTAACCTAAAGAGGAAAGGCTATTTCAGCTTGATTTCCAGTAGTCGAGGCCAGCAAGCCCTACAAGACACTTAAGACCGATTCGCAGGCCTTCCGTTGTTTAGATGCTTTGGTTGACGTTGACTTTTTCGATTCCCTTGCTTCAAAGCATCACCCCTCGCGGGTGCTTTGGAGTCTAGTATCAAGCTGGCAAATCCGACCAAATCCATATCCTTGACAATTCTAAGCAAGCTCAGGGCTAAGCCCAGAGCATTTCGGCGGATGCAATCGTGAACATCTCACAAGCACCCAGAAGAGACCCATGCCTGGTTTGTTTGCTGACTTTGAATGTGCTCAGAGTCAGGTCTTAAGGCTTCTTTGGTGCTGTCCATATCTCACAGGAGCTTCCATCTTCCAAGAAATGGATGTGTTGTGCCAGTTGAGTGATCATGCGCAGTTGCGAAAGAAGTGTTGGAGCTCCATAGTAGTCGAAGCAGTGAGCACAGAAACTTGCTGAGCTCTACTGCATTTGCTGTGGGTTGGAGCGAAAGTTGGTTCTCCACTCAAGGCCTCTTGCACTTTGCTTTCAGCTTCAGCTTTCTGACACCACGGTTGCAGATTAGTCTACAGTGCCGCACTGACTCCAGCCAACATGCAGGTATGTGCTGGTTACATGTGTTGAGAAAGCTGATGGATGGATGCAAAGGATCCCGCTGAGTGCCAACATGTTTTTAAGATGCAGCTGCCATGTCTCAATTCCAGAGCTGACACTGCATGTCAAAGGGCTTCTCCGGAAGATGTTCAGTTCTGATTTGCAGATTATGTTTGTACCTGACCAGCGTGTTGCTTCTTGGGGAGGTTTGCCCTGCGTATGTGGCTGAGGGTCAACGCAGGTGGAATCACATATTCAGGTGGAATCACACTATGTTTAAAGTATACATTCCTAGAACATATGAATGAGGCGGCATGAGGGGACCATTGCGCATAAAGACTGTTTTGTTCGTTCCAGAGTAGAGACACCCATGCGTCTTGCTCTGTGTAAATGTTCCTGTGAGATTGGCAATGCAAAAAAGAGAACTTGATTGGATGTGAAGAAACATGGAGAATCCCTTTGCCCGGCAGCCGCTGTCAATTCGGCTGCTGTCTTTTTATGAAGTTCATCTCCTTCATGTCTCCACCTTCAGCACAACTTCGGTGCCGTGCCAACGATGCTGGCGTGCTTGTAAGCGGCTATATGTGTTTCAGAGCATGGGTTTAGACTATCTACAAGCACATCACGCGCACTGTTCTTAGCAACACGTATGCAAGGCATTGCTGAGCAACAGGGTTCCAATCCTCTCATGCCTTCACAGATTGGGAAAAGGCGTTTGATAAAGTACAATATGGCAAACTGTATTTAGCTTTACACCGAAGTTCACGAACATTACGTTGCGGTCGAGGTCATCAAGAATTGGTACCACAACCCTGCTTTTTAGTGGAGGACAAATTTGGAAGATCATCGACAAAGCAGCAACGGTCGGGAACAGGACAAGGATGCCCTCTATCGCCATATTTACTCTAGATTATTCTAGATGTATTAAACATGGAACTCAAGAATTGCTGGGATGTTTGTTCCACTTCTATGTATGTTAAAAAGTGTGACGGTAATAAACATAGAAGTAAACCTGTGCTGAAGCATGACAAGATTAGGATTACCATGACGCGCTTCCATGTTTAATAGTATGGCTCAAAGACGAGAGGAATTCAAATAGAAGAGTGAACACATATTCTACAAATAGGTTTGAATATCATAATGTATGTAAATCATGACCATTGTACATAGCATAATTTGCATCACAAGATCACTGCGCAGCCCTTTTGTGAATCAAGAAAAGGTGCGTATGGTACCGGAGCAAGGACAAGGGTAACCCCTTTGAGCTCCAGAGAAAAGCTCCTAGGTCACTGGGATCCCGGGTGCGATTTCGAGCCATAGATTTGGGGCCTTTGGAACCCAAACAGCTGGACTGGTGAAGAATTGTTGTGAGCAACACTCTGTGCCTGTACATTGTGTCCTAGAGACGTTGGTACACAGGAGAGATGGAGGAGATCAGAGAAGTCCGTCAAACTATAGCACAGAGTACGCTGGCAACAACATCAGCAGCTGAGGCAGTGAAGAAAGCAGCTGAAGACAAGAAGTCATCAACAAAGTTGGTCAAAGCTGATAGCAAAGCCCAATATCTTTGACTGGCTATATGAAGGACTTGAAGAAAAATCATAAAAATCCAAATGACAAATTTGACATAGAGAGCTGGTGATGAGTTCAATTCGCTGAGGAGAAAGTACGAACTAGTAGTTGGTGGACTATGGATCCAACCAGGTAACTACATCCAGCAGCCGCGGAAAGCCTATGAAGAGCAGATTGGACTGATCGAGCTCCAGCAACTACCATCAGACGACTCAATCCAGATGGAAGACAAGTCAGATGTCTTTCAAGAGCAAGAGAAGATCCACCTTTTCAGAAGCATTACTGGATCAGGTGTCTACCTATGTCAAGAGAGGTACGATGTAGCATTTACAGTGAAGGAATTGGCTTCAAGAATGTCAAATGCTACAGCTATGTCATTTTATCGCTTGAAGAAGTTCTTAGGATACATGAAGAAGACATAACTGTGGACTATTGTCTAGTACTTTAATTTCCACAAGCAGGAGAAGGTTATGTCAAGAAAGGAGAAAGCTATTGGTGCTTGGAGACATTCTCAGATTCAGACTGGGGTGGAAACAAAAGCCACAGAAAGTCAACATCAGGAGGGTTCCATGCATTGAAAAGTTGCCCATTGTTCAACAGCAGCAGGACACAGAAGATCATTAGCTTATCTTCATGCGAAGCAGAACTACATGCTATAGTTCCTCAGCATCAGATGCAATCTATTCGCGCAGTTCTTGAATTTGCTCTTGGGACAAAGGTGGACCATTACATTTTTCACAGATTCATCGAGCGCACGCCAACTTGTGAGACACTTTTATGGAAAGTTGCTATGGATTCAAAACAGGAAAGACTTCAAGATAGTACAAGTACCAACAAATAGCAATATGGCAGACCTCAACACAAAGCCACTTGGAGGACAAAGAATCAGATACTTGATGAACCTCGTTGGGTATTGGCAAAGTGAACACCAAACCAGAGTAGGAGAGCACGCGAGAAAGGTGTATGAAGAGAAAAAGAACCTGCGCAGGAAAGGTCAACAAGATTGCCAAGATGCTTGTGAGAATGGTGGCATTGGAGGGCTTGCAGCCAATGGTTTCAGAAGCATTCTTGAAGGGAGACAACATCCAGTGAAGAAATCCAATGAGGAGTGGAAATTCTGGTCATGATCATTGCGTGCAACATCATTGGTTTTGCAGCAGCGATCTTTGTACTCTTCAAGATCTACAAACACTTTGAGATCAGCTACTCCAGTGTAGTCGACTCAAGCCGCTTCAAACTTGACTACATGGAGAATCTAATCAGGGGAGTTGAGAAGAAAATTGAAGAAGTTGAAGAAAGGGTTGGAATTTGGAGAGAAGAAGAACTTGAAGAGCGAATCTATATTCTACTATATTCTACACAACTACGCCAGGAGATTTCATTGTGGGTTGGTTCTCACTGGAGGCTTTGTTGAACATGAAGTGCCAGACCTTCAAACAATCATCAGTTATGATCTGCTGGGAGAGTTGAACGCAGGAAACTTTTAGCCAGAAGGAGCTTGGAAGATATGCAAGCAACAGAAGGACAATATGGGCAATGTTGCAGGCAGCTACAGATGGAGCAACACCATCAGAGGGACCATCGAACAGAATGTTCAGAACAGGAAACAGGGAGATATCAATGAGAGAACAATACATTGCAGATCTAGCAAGCCAAATGTGTGGTCGACTTGGAGCAAAACTTGATCAACTCAATGAAAGACATTGGAACCTCATGAGCAGGGGGTTGAATGAGGCAGCAGATATAGTGGAGGAAGAAATTGAAGAATATCACGAGTTGTTCGCATGTGCAATCATGAGGAGAATTTTTCCAGCCAAACCACAAACAGGTGTAACGCCAATCTCTGGGAACCCAGTTGCTGAGAGAGATGATTAAGCCGG